AGAAAATATACCCATTTCTAGAGCAGATTTTCAATTCTTGTTCACATGGTCACCAAAATCCAGTGAAGAATCATTGTCTAAAAGAAGTAAAAGTTACAGCATAATGTGGCAAATTTCTGTAGTGGAAAATCTATTGTTCGTTAATTAATTAGTGTTAACTTTTAAGGGCTTTTACAGCTGCATCTGAAGTTTGAACAAAGAAGCAGATGTTTGCAAGTTTGAGGAGTTTTTAATTAATTTAATCTTGTTTTCCATATTGCTCAGAGTGAGAGTCTAATTGGAGATTCAGGGGGAGAAGTAGCTGGCTCAAAGGCACAAGACATGCACAGACCCTCCTTCCCATTATAATGCACTTGTCTCTTCTGATCTGTTCATTCATCAGTTTCTGTCCTCATGCTCTCATCTCTCTGATTCGTGTAAGTTTATCTACTTCGGATGAATATAGTGCTTGCTTATTTTGTACTGGGAATGGCACAGAATTCGTTGCATCTGATGCATCTTACAGAGAAATAATTTCAGAATGGCTAAGATATCTCTAACTTTCCCGCAGTTCACAAGGTCATTGTAGCATCTCCGTGCTCAGAATTGCAGCTGGTGGCTCAGTGCTATCCATGACAGCCCAAGATCTCTGGAAAAACTCCCACAGAGAGCAGAAAGGTAGCTGGAGAGCTGCTGTAACCATCTGTTTCTATGCCTTCTTTTTCTTGTTCTCCCATGTTAACAAAAAAGGAATAGCTGTTAAGATATATGTATGGTCACATACCCTATGGAGCTGTTCCTAAACACAAGTGTTGCCTAAAAGCCTGTTCTTTTATACCAGTTCTGAAAAACAAAGGGTTATTAACAGCAAATGCAGGAATTACCTGGCAGCGCCAGTGTTAGGGAAGCTAGAAGTTCTATACGTGTCTGATGGTCACCGAATACTTTATTAAACCTAGTACACAGAGGGGATTGAAATTGGTATCAAATGCTTTTCAGCATTCTACACTCTTACAGAATGGGGATGTTTTGAGACAGGCAAGGATTGCTTTAAAGTATATTATTATATATTATATACTTGGCAATACATATTCTTAGGAAATATTGGGACATGACAATGCAATACATAATGAAGTGTAAGAGGACCATTGGGTGGGTCTGAGTCTATGTTCCAGGAATAGGAGGAACTTCCGCTGTCTCGAAATCCATGGGTTTCTGAACAACAGAGGAGAAAGGTCTGACTGGTTATATGGCTGTGTTGAAATATGGACTTCTTCAGGTCCTTGTTGTAGTGTTTTCTGGTTAGTAAATAGAAGAGAACGGATTAGTCAATGTTAGAAAGCAGCAAAGCTAGCAGTTTTCACAATACTCTCCTCTTGCAGCTCCCAGTAAAGAGATTAAGATGTGACTCTAGCTGAATTAGGACGTTAATGTGTTTTGTGCTTTTCGCACTGTATCTACTATCTTGCCATAAATAGTTCTGAACATGAATTTGAGATTAAATTATTGTTCTTGTTTAATATGATTAACACAATATGGAGATTCATGTTTTTAAATCTTTAAAATACACTATTCCATATAAAAAGATATTTAGTGTTCTGCAACCAAATGCTTTGACCTCTGCCAAATCAGCATAAGTGAACTAGTTGTTATAATCCCTGTGCGTTTGTAATTACCAAAGTGGTTTGCATGGCTTTACTTAGTATTAAATCCTGACATCATCTTTAAGTACAGAAATCAAACTTGTTGTAATGAAGATTGTATCAATAAAGTTCTCACATTTCACATCTTTTCTGGTAGTCATAATAAACCAAAATTGTATGATTCATCACCTACCTTAAGTATTTGTTCTTTCCGATATTGCCAGGCTACTGATGTGTAAACAGAAATGTAAATATATGCTTGCGGATGGGTGATTGTTTGGGCTTGCACAATAGCATTGAATCATTTGAGCAGGTCTCCTTGCTCTGTACCGTGGACTTAACAAATGCTGCTGAGAAGAGCAGCTCCAGAGCACAGGGAACTTGTTTGGACTCAAGGAAGTTTGTGATTTTCTGCTCTAAACATAGTCTGTCATAACTGTTATTTCTAAACTAGAACTTTTCAGTTCAGAGGTCCATTATGAGATATACAAAATATTCAGTTTCATAGTCAGTAAAAGGTGCTTCTAATATCCTCTGTAATCTGCTCAAGTAACTAGGTTTTATTTAGTACATGTGTGAAAGGCGGAAAAAGGAGAGAGGATTTTTACAGCACTTAAACTATTGTTTCTAGAATGTTGTTTCAGGCATTCTTCCAAATAAAGACACGAGGTGTTTATGCTCATGAAGTTCCAAAAGTTGTTGTATTATTATACGAGTATTTTACAGCTACAGAATAAAAGCTTGAGTACATAGGATTCTGCAACTGATAACACTTGCATCGATTCCCATGTGTTTAGGGAGCGTGTGTGCATATACATGTGTATGTTGGAAAAAGAGATCATACATGCGTAGGAATTGTTACAAACGTCTTAGTTGCTCCTATGAGAGAACTGATTTTTTTGGCTGCATCTCTGTATTACCCCATAAAAAGCTTCTTCAACTATTACGAATTGTTATTCAAGTGATTTACTGAGTTTGAGGGTTGTGCCCCAAGATTGCAAGTGTGGCATCTTTTCTGAAATAAATATTTGAGAATTTTAAAGAAAAAACAAAGAACAGCAGCACAGATCTGCAGAGATGTGGGTGTTACATGCTGTGCGCATGAAATAATTGCTGCCCAGTTTTTATGCAAAGGTGATGGAGTTAATGAGTGCTGCAGTTGCTAGGAAAGCAGGCAGCTTGTAGAGAGTTGCTTGGGGCAGCAGATTTCCCAGCTACAGGAGATGAAATGAAGATCCACAACTTCTCATGTCTGTGTGTTCCAGAGAAGCACATCTACTAATTCCAGAGAAGTATAAATTTCATATTAATAACATTTATCTTGGTCTGATAAGAAATGTGCCAAGGCTTTGGGCACACCTTCTTCCTCTGCTGTTGCAGGTTCTTGTCCATGCTAACTCCTTCATGTCACTATGAAGAACCTGGATCGCAGGTTCATGCAGTGCCCTCACAACATGAAAGTTGGGTCGGGTTGCTTGGGTCCATGTGTGGTCGAGCTCTGACCATCTCTAGGGATGGATGGAGATTTGCAGCTTTGCTGGGCCCTTTCCCCATTATGTGGTCACCATTGTTGTTAAAGAATTAATTTTTTTTTTTTTAATGTCTGGTCAAAATTTCCTTTGTTGCAACTTCTGTCTGTAGCCTCCCATCCTTTTGCTGTGCACCTGTGAGAAGAATCTGGCTCTGCCATGTCTGTACCTACCTACTCAGTAGGCAGATGAAGGCAGGAATGGGACTTCATCTTTTGCCTTCTCTTTGGGCTGCATAACCATTGGTCTCCCAGCCTCTCCTTATACTCACGAGACCCCTGATGGTCTTCCACTGGACTTGCTCAAGTCTGTCAATGTCCTTCTTGTTCTGAGGAGCCAAAACTGGGCACAGCACGCTAGCTGTGGTCTGGCAAGTCTCAAACAGAGGGGAAAATCACTTCCCTAGACCTGCTGTCTTTGCTTTCTTACTAATGGTGCCCAGTATGCAGCTGTCCTTCACCACCGAAGATGATCACTCACTTTGAACCTGTCCACCAGCACCCCCGGGTCCTTTTCTGCAGAGCTACTTTCTACCTGGTCCGTGCCCAGTTTATTCTTGTGCTTGAGACTAGTCTGTCCAAGGGCAGGACTTGTTGGGTTTCATGAGACTTCTCTCAGCCCATTTTTCCAGCCTATTGAGACCTCTCAAAGTGGCAGCCTTACCCTCCAGCTTATCAACCATGCTTCTCAGTTTCATAGCAACTGCAAACTTGTTTGAGATTTTTTTTCCATCTCTTCCTTTCATATCATCCCTGAAGTTCAACCAAATCCATACAGGTAGTTTGATGAAGAGGAGTAACATGCTCCTAGGCTAAGACATAGCTAATTAAAATGCAAAATCTATCCTCACCTCATCAGAAGCTTAGTGGCAGCTCTAGTTAGGAGGGAAGTATTTTCCTAGTGGACTAATGCTGTATAGTTTCTGCTGCTGTCTACTCCAGTTGGTCTAGCTGCAGCAACAGACTGTTGTAATACAGCTGCTATTAGGCTGCTTCTCTGCATGTTTTTGGTGTTTGTTTTTTGGGGGAGAGTTAATTTAATATCCATTCAAGGCTAGATTCTAAAATTCTTGCTTTATCTTCAGTCTTTAGACAAGCAAATCCTGCTCCTGTGTGGTTTTTTAAAAAAGGGCATAATGCTGCAGTATGTCAAAATGAGTCAAATCTTGGAAAATTTTGCCGTATATTGCTTGTATAAATGCACATATGCAAACATTAGTTTGCATTTTATCAGTTATCTGGTTGTTCACTTTGTAGTGAAATTTTAACGTTAAGCCCTTTAGCACATCTATATACTTAAATAATAAGTGGAAACAGCATGAATGTCTGGCAGGTTGAGAAGGAGAAAACCTCAGATCTTCAAGACTACCTAAATAAGAATGGTTCAGTAAATCAGATGCAGTACATGGGTACTTGAGGGGAAAACCACTACTTAGGCTTTCAGCATGAAGAAGTGCTTGTTGAAGGAGAAAATGCCTACTGAAAAAGGGAAAAAAAAACATGCCACATGTTGTCACCAGCTAATTCTGACTATTTTTCTTTTGTTTCCCCCTTTTTTCCTTCTCTTCCCAAGTAATGTAATCATTCTGTGAGACCATACAGTAAACATCCTGAGACAGCGGTGCAGAAAAGCTAACTGAGCACTGCTCAGGAGGAGGACATCTAGGTAGGGCTGAAGAGGGCTGTGGGAAAGCTGAGAAGGGAGGCACGGAGAAGGGGTGGGAGCCCTGCAGAAGGGCTCATTGGCAGAAGGCAGGAACAGGATACGTTTCAGCTTTTGGGTGGCTCTGGGAGGAGCAAGTGTTGGGATTAAAGTGTCTTGATGAAATTGTTCCTTTTCAGACGCAGACAGTGAGTTCCATGGGGTGGATTTTTTGCCAGAAGATCTCAACGAGGCTTCAGAAGAGACAGGAATGAGGGTGAACAAGAAATACTCCTGCCTACCAGCTGAGGAGAAGGGGATCCACATTATCAACATCCGAGCTATTGAGGATATAGGATATGACCAGCATGAGAGTACAGTGAGTAAAGGACTTGCCAGATGTGTCATAACTGGCATACTGCACTTTACTCCTTAGCTTTTTTCTTATTCTTTCCATTCCCAGAGTGCTCTGAAATCCTCTCCCTCCCTTTTTCAGAAGTGCTGAGGAGAATTGCCACCAGCCACAGTACATGCTAATTGAGTGGGATTTGTTCTTTGATGTGAAGAAGGGAAGCAAGGGATCCTTGCTTAACCTGTAGCCTAAAAAGGGGTTGGCTATTCTCAGAGTAAGCAATCTGGCAATAAGGCTGTAGCAACCTTTAAATTTCTTTGCCCATATAGAGGAGAACAGAAAAAAATTTCTTGCAAAACCTGTTATTAACATAGGTAACGTTAAACTAATAGTCTGTGGCACACAATAGAGATTAGAATTCTATTATGCCTTGGTTAAATTCTTTGACGCCAATTTTAAAGTAAGTTGGTAACATGAATACCCAGCGGGATTAGGAGTTGATTATGTCATAAAAACAAGTTTATTCAGGTGAAGGAACTGAGATGGAGTGGACAATATAACAGATCTCACTGGGGGAAGGTGTATTCATTGTGCTTGTGCGTAATTAGGGTTGAGTGTGGAGGAGTAATTCTGTGAGAGTGTCAACACCCTGTCTGCTGTGGTACAGCTCACATGTCTTTTCTGTGTCTGATTTGCAACCGAAGGCACATGAGCCTTACATAGTCTAAGTCAATGCAACCCCTTCTCTATTTCATTGTAGCAGCACTGCAAGAAAGGATGTGGCCCATGAGTACCTTTCAGCATTAATACCACATCCTTAAAAGATAACTATTTCTTTCTTTAAAACAGAACCAACAAGCTTCTTTGAGTTTTTCGGCCGCATCTCTTTTGCAGTGGGACATAGCTATTCTCATGTATTAATAAATTTTTATTGAGGCTTTAGTATCCACAGTGCACCACCTTCTCCAAAATTATCAGTGAGTCCCCACAAGGGTCAGATTTTCAACAGGAAAGTTCAAAGAAATGTGAAGAAGTTCTCATTTAGTTTCTGCAGTGTGACCTTTTCCCTTACCAGTGGCAGTGGCTCAGAGATAGAGAGACACAAAGGATTTTCAGTGCCCCTGTTCTCCATCCAGGGTGTGCTCCAGGAGACAAGGAGCTGTGGCCAGCAGGTACTGATCTCTCCCGAGCCCCCCAAGCAGTTAGAAACATCTGGTGCACTCACTGCTGTCACCTCCAGTCCTGCCATTTCCTTTATTTATTTGTCTCCAGAACAGACCAGCTAATTGCTGTCCCTCGTAAACTCAGTCCAACGAGGGTAGGAAGTGGTTGGGGTCTAAATCTTTTGCCAGTTTTATCGCCGTGCACTTAGCTGAACATCTGTCAGTTCAGACCAGTTTTTCAGAAATTGATGTTTAATTAATTAATAAAATCAACACATCTTTAAAAATTAAATACAATTAGTTATCTTAAAAGAAATCCCGGTGTCCCTGTATCTTGTTTACAACAACTATTTACTTTGAAGAGGCATTATATCCTGAAAATCCAGTTAGCTACTATTTCTTAATATTTTTTCTATAGAAATTTGCATAACCGAGTTGCTTGCTGCAAGCAGACTGTCAGCTTGCTTTAAAAAAATGTTCTGAATTCACAGGTGTATGCCATTAATCATGAAGCAATCAGAAAGTAGTAGTTATTAAGCATATACTACTACAGTATAGAAGGCCATTAAGAACTAAATGGGATATCTAGATGGGACACAAACATGAGCAGCCTGTGCCCTGAAGAATGTGTTATTGTCATGGCTAAACACGAGAGATGTGGAGCAAGGAAAGGAGGGAATAGGACAAAGAGTGAACTCTGTGGTGGCAGCAAATGTTATGTGTTTATGTATTTGGAGCAAAGGGTTTAGGTTAAATAGAAAAGAGAGATAAGATCCAGAAGGAAAAGGAGAGAGATAGTGAAGGCAGGCGTGGAGCAAAGCTGTGAGGAACTGAGGAGATGGAGACCTGCAGCCAGGCCCTGGGCAGACATGGTCAAGTCAGGCTTTGGAAAGCAATGAATGTTCAGGCATCCCCACCTCGCCCAATGGCTGCTCCTGGCATCTCGGGCTTCTTGCTGCCTGCCAGTCGTCCTTGCTATGTGCTTATCTGATTACACTTGTCTAATTACTTCTTCAGTGCGCTTCCTCCTCCCTCCAAACCCGGGAAGATGGGGTTTGCTGCTTGAATTTTTCTCTGAGTAAAAATCTCCCCAAGGCAAAAAGGGAAGAACAGACTCTCCCTTAAAGTCACTGATTTATAGTTACAGCAGCTGGGACCTGCTCTCCCCAAAGTGATGTTCAGAGAAGTATGCAAATTTGTGTAACACTGGCTGGGTTTCGATGCAGCTTTGGCTATATGGGCTGTAATATACTGTACAGTAGACTGAGACGTTGCTGTTTTCATCTGGTGTTTAAAAATTGGACTGTCTTAGAAACAACTCTTTCCAAATAATTTACATGCAAGGTTTTGTGTATGAAGTAAGAAGACGGTGTACACATCCCAAATGGATTTTGACTGATATGATTGATATGGCCAGTTGCTATCATTTGGAGCAGAAGACCTTTTCCCTACTTGAAGGCTTAACATTCTTCTGTAAAATTAAAAGCCAGAAAATGCTCCTGGTCCCTGAAAAGCCACCCCTGTGATGAGTATTTTTTATAAAAATAAATGCAAGTTATTAGTGAACTTTTTTTTTTTTTTTAAATGCTCTGTGCATCTTCAAGGGTGGAATTGTGAATTATGCATGAGAAGTGCTATTGAAAGTAGAAATGAGTAATTGTTAGTACTTTTTTATGTTTCTACAGTTGCCCTGTGCAATTTTCAGATAAATGCTTGGAAATGGAATTGTGATTTAAGTCTTACATTTCTTGCATCTTGCAACACTTACACGGCATTAATTCAAGATGGGGCTAAAGCCTTTGCAACCATCAGATTGCAAAGTGACACAGGTTTTGTAAGTGGGGGGAAAAAAGTGATGAACTCAGTAAGCAGTGAACCCACTTCCCTGGCTACAGTCCATCTGCATTTTTTGGCTGCGCTTCATGACCAGCTGGCTCCCTTCAGTCTGTATCTAAGATGATCTCTTTCTCAGATGATACAAACTTGCAATGATAGATAAGAGAAGTGAGAAATGTTTGCACATGATATTAATCTATTTGTCAAAATTGAAACGCAGATGTCTTGGGTGGAAGAGGACGGATGATCTTAGTGGTAATTAACCCCCAATGAGAAAACCAAATCCTCCAAGTAGCTGACTTATGAGCTAGTGTGCTGGTAATTAGATTAAATCCCAGTCATTTTAGCTATTTATTTCTGGCCAATAAAATCCCAGCTGGCTATCAGTAAAAGCGCAGGTGTTAACTTGCAAAATTGTTTTGAGTAAGTACCATGGGGGAGCTCCTCCCGTATGCATGCTGTTTGAAGATGGGTCATTGTGTGCTCCAGGCAAGAAGGAGTCCTTGGTACAAGGATATGATCTATCTGGTGTCTGTGTTGGCGTGTGTACTCATTGTTCTTCTTGTCTCTCCTTCTTTCCACACCCCCATTCCCTGCTTCCAGTTATTAAATTCCCTATCCAAAAATCCAGATGCTGACTGCAAATATGGACTCTACTTCAGAGATGGCAAGAGAAAAGTAGACTACATCCTAGTCTATCATTACAAGAAGTCCTCGGCAGGGAGGACACTCACCAGGAGAGTTCATCATAATGATTCAGGTGCCCGAAGTGCCAAGCAGGACCAGCCGCTTCCTGGGAAGGGAGTGCAGCTGGAAATGGGGGAAAGCGAACCTCACGTGGATTACCATGAAGACGACAAGAGGTTTCGCAGGGAGGAGTATGAAGGGAACCTCGTGGAGGCTGGTCTGGAATTGGAACGCGATGAGGATGTAAGGAGCCATTTCAAATGGTTAAAGATAGGGAGGATAACTGGTGGTCTAGTCCTGGAAGATCCTGTGAACCTGGCTCTGATCAAGGTTACACAAGCTCAGCTTTTTCAGTTTTGTTTCAGTTCTGACAGCACCATCCTCATCCATCAATTTAATTTGCTTCAAGGAATGGCCCATGGTGTTGTTAGTGCCCCAGTGAGGTGAAGTTTCTTACTTTTCTTGGCCAGGACTCATGGCACATCCCCTATTGCAACACAGTTTGTTGATGTGTTGCTGTATCTAGAAGTGAGGCTTAAATTGCTCTCAACACTAATCCCAATTTGGTGGGTTTAAAGTATGCTGTAGTTTGGATTCACTGGTAATTCCAGTTCTGATTAAAAATACCTGATACAGACAGTGACATTTTTATACCTCAGTATAGACTTAGAGAATTAAATTTGTTCAGGAGGTTCTGGTACATGCTCTAGCTTGGGCGCGTGGGTCTGTATTACAGTTTGCTCTTTCCATTCTTAGATATGAACAGTACAGCTTGTAACGCCTTTCACCTGTACCCTGAAAACAGTATATTCTATTAAAAGACCATTAGGCTATATAAAAAATGATGTGTGAAGTACTGCCAGTGTGTGATTAGTAGAAATAGCCACAGCCGTATTAATTTCAAAGAAAGCTATTACAATTAACTGATCCAACCAATATGCCCAAAATTCCTGTGAGAGAGGGTAAACATTTATGCTGGCTTCATTTACAGGATCTAAAACTTGAGATTAAATATTTAGACATGTGATCAGAATGTTAAAAAAATTAATCTGCTATCTATTATTCACAAATTACAGGCAATGTATATAACGGTGTGTGTGTGTATATATATATATATATATATATATATATATGTAAAGTATATATTTTGCATTCTATAATGCAAAAAAACCCTTTTACTTCTATATTGCCCAGGTGAAAATAAGAATTACTTTCCATCCAACTTGCAAGTTGTTGTAGTAAACTAGAAGCCTGCCTGTGCCAAGTCATAGATATTTAAATCCTTTGCAAGATGGGAGGTCCTCACCTATGACATATAATATGATTTCAAATGATTCAGAAGGGCTCAGGGTTCAACCCAGGACACTGTAAAAGAGAGAGAATCCTGTCCTTTCAGTGCAAGATACCAAATCAGATCAGGAATATGTACTGATGAAAATAAGCCACAGGGATTTACATCAGCTTCCATATCCAGCCCATCAGTGTAGGGGGAAAAACCTGCAATCGTTTGGGCTTGAAAAGCATGCCACAAAGTTGTGTTGGAGGCCTTACTAGTTGGAAAAAAGAGCAAAGGTTTCTTAAACAGATGATGTTTCCTGAGTCACTTAAGATCTCCTCGGTGAAGTAAATTCGGAGGTGGTTTGGAAGCCATGGCAGTTATTTATGTCCTCTGAGTAACCAATTTCTAGAAAGCCAGTGTGGAAAATAGCAGTGTGAAAGCTAGTTACTATAATAACTGCCTGAGATTGTACAGCAACAAGAGTAGAAAGATTTATTAACATTTCTTTCTCTTCTGTTTGCTGAATGCCTGATAGTTTGATAATCAATTTGTCCAACAGTTTTGAAATTATTACTCTGTGGGAGTTAATACGGGTGTATGTGGGAATGCCAGAAGCAAACCCCCGTGTCCAGCCACCTAGAACAGAGCTCAGAGAACTAGTGGGATCCAAGCGTACTGCTAATATTATTGTTAACATTTTTTTCTTTTTGTTTTGTTGAATTCTTCCTACCAATTTTCCTAATTAAAATGCATGGTGGTTTAATGTAGATACATCTGTATCTGAGACTGCTTCTTTCTTACTGCAGTTCTAGTCCTTTGAGATACTGAGCAGCTGGTAGGAGGCAGCAGGGACTCAGCTCCATTACTTACAACATGCTTAAGAAATCACACCATTTGGCTGGGTGCCTGTTCTTCAGATTTAACTGGCTTAGTCTGTATTTGTGTCCATAGTCATTAGCTTTTACTTCCCAAACGATTTTTATCTGTTTAACCTTGTGGCAATTGTTCTGGAAGACAATAGTGGTTTTGAGTCACATTTTATTGCAGCTCAGCACAAAGAGGTGTTCAGTGATTGTCCTGTTGTTAGAAACTAGCTGTCTCAAACAAATGAGATTTATCATGTTGGCAGGAATAGACTGTTTGTTCCTTAAATACATATGAAACACAAGGGGAAAAAATATTTAATTTCCTCTCATCAGGAAACTTTTCTCTTGCTTTTTCTTAAGACTAAAATCCATGGGATTGGATTTGTAAAAATACACGCACCGTGGAATGTATTGTGTCGAGAGGCAGAATTTCTTAAGCTCAAGATGCCCACAAAAAAGGTGAGTCCTGATTTTCTTTTTTTTCCTCTGAAAGGCATAGTTTAAACATATACTCATCTCTGAGCCCCTTACAAATGTTGACTTTTCTTCTCACAAGCATTTTTAAAATAAGTAACTAATCTGTTAAGAAAATGAGACTCACAAACTTGCTTGGTACAGCAGAAAGTACAACGGGAAGGAGAAATGGAAATCAAGAATTCCCAGCTGCTACTGTTACCTGTATACGATGCGAGCGATTTCATACAATGCTTTATCCTCCTAGTGTGCTTTAAAAGCAGAAGTTGCAATTGATGATGAAATTTATGTGTGTGTTTTAGAGTGTTTTTTCTCAGCCAAAATGCTAGACTGGTAAAAATGAACATAAGAGTAACAATTTGTGTGCAGTAGTCTCGCTGGGTTTAGTGACTCTTCATGTACATCATTAGTCATATTTGCAGGAGCTGGGACTACCACAAAATAAATTACCTTTCAGAATATTTGAAATATCATTAAAGAAATGACAGTATATTTTCATCAATTCTAAATCATCTGTGATAGGTGGCTACCTGTTCAGTGAGCATAGCTTAGAGATGGATTAATATTTAAACACCATACTAAGTGCATCTCCCAGACTGCAGAGGGAAGTCTATAATGGACCAAGAGACAGTTTCAAAGCCCCACATCATTTATTACAACACTAAAACCACACTTTTGTTTTGGATTTGATATTAATCCCCATTATTGCCTCACCAACGATTTTAATCAGAAGCACAATTAGGTAAGAAAAGTCTGTTTGTGGTCCTGTGGTTAAAGCTGCTTTGCTACAAAAGAAAAGTTAGGGTGTGCATTCTTTGGGGATTTTTTTGTGAAAGAGGCCACCTAAGCCTGCAGGCATTGCCCAGGAGAAGCGATGTGCCTGAGAAGACCCTCAGTCCCCTAAAGCCTTATTTACAGCCGATCATCTTCCTGCAGTGGGAGCCCTGCCCTGGATCTGCACATAGTTTTTGTGGCTCAGAGAGGGAAATCTGTAATCCTTTTTTGTGACCTGCTCACACAATTCCTGCATTTAGTGCTACAGAACTGCAATTGATGATTCAAGATATTTTGGTTCCTTTAAATGGAGGAGGGGAAACTCCTGAAACTTGCACAATATTCCCAGGAAATCCCCCTGGCAGAGGAGATCACTTCTCTCGTTTTGCACAGGAGCTCTGTAGCTCTTTCATTTCTTTGTCCCATTGCACCAAGAAAATAGTGAATGCCTGAGGAGCTGGTGCTCAGGAGCCAGTGCCAAGTATATCTCTGTTGAACACTCCACTCTGATTATTTGGAATCAAACATGGGCCATATTTTGGCTCAAAGGAATAGTAATAGGCTTCCTCTGAGTTTCTTGGTTTGACTTTCCCATCCAACTATGTCTTTCTGAATGTTTTCAAGAAGGTAAGCTGTACTCCTCAATAGCTTACTGTGATGTATTTATTTAATTGGTAGTTTATTCCTTACGGTTTGCTCTCACTTATGGATAATCAAAAAGCAATAAAGTTTTACTGTTTTTCTCTTTGCCCACTCAGATGTATCAGATCAATCAGACCCATGGTCTTCTGAAAAAGATTAATTCTGTAATTCAAAAAATAACAGAGCCCATCCAGCCAAAAGTAGCAGAACACAAACCACAGACGGTGAAGCGCCTCTCCTACCCGTTCTCCAGAGAGAAGCAGCACTTGTAAGTGAAAGCTTTCTGTAAATGTCCATGTCAACGGGTTCCAGCCTTTCCGACAGCAGCTAAGGCACCAAAAGGTGAAGGAAAATGAACACCAACTTTATTAGGGATTACTGTAAAGAGTATTTCCATTTTGCAGTAAATTTACTTTTTTTTTTTTTTTTTGGCTCACTGTTGGGGAATGAGGCTTTACAGCCCCTCTGTGAAATCTGTGTGCGTTTTAGCTGCCGTTGTGGCATATAATACATCTATGTAACTATACACATCAACTGTTAGACTGTCAAACAAGGTTTATAATGTGGTTTACAATAGTCTCTTTTCCATGTAAAATAAAATGCTCAGTAAAATTTGTAGCCAGAGATGTGGGTTGATAAATTTCATAATCATTTCATTCATCTGGTGTGGGCAGCTCCCACATGTACTGCCAACCAGGCCTTGTCTTGGGAAATGTTATGAAGTCAGTGGTAGCTTTGCCATCGATTTCAGATCAGTAAGAATAGCTGTAAACGTGGGTGTAGGAAAAAATCATAAGGTGAGGCCCAGCCAAAGTTTCAACTGCGCTGGATTGCTTTGCTGCTGCTCTTCCTTGGCCAGCATCCCAGAAGAGAAGCTTTGAAGGCTGTGTTTATGTATGTGCCAGCTGGAACAAATAACAGTCCTAAGGCAGGATTTCTTCACTGTACGTACAGGGTTCTTAGTTTTTAATCAAGGGATGCAGAATGCTGATGGAGTTGTGCATTTTAATTGGGCTAGTCAATGTATGTGACATTTGACATATTCTTGGACTTGCAGGAAATGTGTTTATATATTTATTGCACGTAGGATGTTCCTACAGTGAAGGAGCCTGGTGGCTCAGAGAAAGCCTAAAAGATGTCCTTAGCTTAGGCATGGATGTGCCTTACAGTGCAGTGATGGCTCCTTTCAGTGAGACCACCTGTGCCTTTGCTGAATGAGGGAGGCAAGAGTGGCCTCACAGGGTTTAAGGCACCAAAAAATGTAAAGATTATTAGGAGAAATTCAAGGCTGGCCGTGGTCAGGGATTCAACTTAAATGAGCATCAATCAACAGTCTCTCTTGTGCAGAAAAACCTATAAACATGTAAAATCAGTGAAACGTATAAGTGACCACTTTAAAACATGAAAGTTGGGATAGATTGTAATGAAGTTTCTACAAGCTAATCTTTAATGTTAGCTACAAGAGATTCCCAGGAGAAATTAAAATATTGAAGGGGTCAACAAAAGCAGGAAATTACTGCCTTTTCTTTTTTTTTTTTTTTTTTTTTTTTTTTTTTGTCTGACAGAGATTCCTTCTTTGACAGCAAAACGAGAAGCACTATAGTAAGTGGTGTATATAAATAATTTATGGTGGATGTTGCCTTAGCCATGGTGTTAATAGCCCCTTTGCCAGCTTTAGTACATAGTCTGTTGCAAGTTTGCCTTAACCAAATGCCAGGGATTGCCTGTGACATCAGTTACTGAAATTATAAATAAGACACTTCCAGCTTTAGCTTATGTAGTGAATAGTCTTTGATACTAACATGTTATTGCCTTTTGGAAAATAATTTAGATCTTCTTTTTAGTTCACAGTTAATGTGGGACATACTTTCTTAGTAGACATATCACCAGAAAAGAATACCTTTAGATTGTACTACAGGTTCTGCCGTCAGCTACCTGCACCCCTGTGGCTCATTTACCTTTTTGTAACTATACATTGCTCTTTTTGTGAACTGCTGAGAAATCTGTCAAGACAAATTCCAATGAAAGAGCCAGGTATTTACAGGGAATATTATTTATAATTGGGGGGGGGTGTCTATTCTCTAAAGTGGTGTTAAAAGTTTTTTATTATTATTATTTATTATTTGTATTTAACATTAAAGTTTACATGCAGATGCAACAAGGACAGAAAATTGCATCTTGTTCTGATTGTTTATGCATCTGTTCACCTCTATTACACTAGCAAGTGTGATGTACATGTATGCAGCACTGGCCTGGGCTGAGCCATTCCTGCCTACATGTTGGAGGGTCTCTCTGCTCCTTCAGTGCTAGCACAGGCCTTTTCCTTTCATAATTAAACTACTGCAGTTCCCTTACAGAAGTGAAGCCTAATACAGGAATACGATATCAAAAACTGCGTTTGAGTGCTTCCTTGTGACTTGCAGAACATAAAATAGAGTGAGGGAAAAGATGCAGCCTCCTTTATAGTCACTGAGAGAGAAATTGAAAAGACAGCTTACATGACATCCAGGGCAGTTGGAAGGGACCATGCCAAGCAGCACTTGCTGCAACACTTTTCAAAGTATAACGTGGACTCTTTGCCCGGTTCCACTGCTGCTAATCGGTGCGTTGGAATGTGACTGTGAGCATGCTTTTATCTTATATTTAACATTAGCCTTTAGGATGCTAAGTGGTTTCAAAAAGAGCTTATATCATAATTATAGCTGCCTTTTATTGCTATGGTGATAAGAGGTCTTAGATATCTAACTTCCCTTTCCTGCTTTGAAATTCCAGTGTGTGGACCCCATGATGTAGTTCCCCTGTAGCCTGAAGTGGGCTGATTTGATGTGAGCGCAGGTTATCAGGGCTAGGTGAGCCTGACCAGGGGAGGCAGATGCAGCAGCACAGAAATAGAAAAGAAAAAGACAAACATTGAATTGGTTTATTTGCAATAAAAAGTTTCACTTTAGATTGGAAAAAAAAAGCATAGCTGTTGTTTGCAGAGTTTCTTTTTTATGTTTAGGTATATAGTAAAAGAACTTGTAAGTACAAGAAACTTAAGGGAGCAAATGAAGATTTGAAATTCATGACAAGCTGTCTGAGAAAGGTAGCAAGGCAAAATGGCCCCATAGGACAAGAGGGTGAGCAAGACTAATTGAAAAATGGACTGAAACAAAAGGAGCTCATAGCAGAGGCTGAGAGGAAGAGGAGGGATGGGTTTTCTTAAATCGCTCAAGGAGCACTGGACATATAACAGCAATGCTGGTAGTATCTTGCTTTGCTTGAAATCCCTGTAAATCACACGGTAATAAAAGACACATTGAATGATTCCCAGCATCGTTTTCTCCTGCATGCACTTATATTTGTATTCTTGTTTCTTGAAGTTCTTTCCTGCCTCTCTCATATGTATTTTTAAACCCCAGTGCAAATATTGACCCTTCTGCCTACAGCAAAATGAACAGGAATCTAGTCACTCCCTGTGGATCTATGATGAATAGAAACTTTTTTTTTTTTTTTTTTAATTAAATAATAAATTATATAACTGGAAATCTCTCTGTGACAGCCCTTTAACTCACTGGAGTTACAAGATGACAGGCAGAGGAGCTGTGGGGCTTGCTGCGTATGCCCTTGCTTGCTTCCCTCCATGAGTTGGACAAGTGACAGTCAAGTTAGCACATGGAGTAATGAGCATCCCTAGGAAAACAGTCCCTGACTCCCCAGACAGGCCAGACAACAGGCAGCAGGTGCTTTTGCCCGTGGTTTTCCTCTGCTGCCCGCTCCCCTGCCAGCCTCACACTGGCTGAGGTTGCCTTACCCAAGATCATCACTGCATGGGAGCAGTGCAGGGCAAAAGCTTGACCACTCAGGCAGCGTGCTGAGATGTGCAAAGGTTATTTGACAATAAATCGTAAAATAAATACATCTGTTTTGCCACTGAGGTCATGCGAGCTCAGAAGTTTTCAGGTCAGCCTCTGTTAGTCCAGTTTGTGATAAACGGCTGCGTGCTGTGTACGCGTTACGAGCCTGAAGCTGTGCTGGAGCCCTTGGGGTGAAGCCAGTTTGCACCATCAAAGGCAAGGGCAGAGTTGGCCCAGCACGCTGCCTAGTCTGGGTAGAAGAGGGTTTCTGATCTTTGATCGATGTCTAATATGAGCAACGATAGCGTTTCTGTTAAGTGAGTGGTTAGGTGTAACCCTCTTTCCTCCGATCAATTATCTTGGTAGCTGGATACTTAGTTGAGCCTTTTTCTCTTGTATGGATAACTTGGCATGGAAATCTTTAAGCCCTGCTCTCCTGAATACCATGACTTTTAATAAAGAATGATGACTTCCTTGACATCTTGGTTTTGCCAATATTTGAGCTGTACACAAAAAAGATTGTGCTTTTCATTGGCAGTATTTGAAGTAACCCTTTCTTTTCTTTTCTTTTACTTCTGTAGGTTTATGAAATATTGAAAAGAACAACATGTACCAAAGCAAAATATAGCATGGGTAAGGAACTTTATTTATTTATCTTTAAGATCAATATTGTTTTCAGGTATTGAAAATAATTGCAAGTTGTAACTGGCTGTGGAGTTTAGGTTTTTGCCCTGCTCTCTAATTTGATGTATGTGGATATAATGTTTTATTTGGAAATTTAATTTCATTAATGTAGCTGTTTGGAATTTTTTCAAATGTGAATTTATAGATTTGACTCTAAAATAAATGGTAAGTGAGCATATAGGCCCTGCAGATGTTAGTTACATCCTTTGCCGTAGGACTGGATGTGATATAAACCAGAGGATAATACATGCTCTGCATTGATTCAGTTTTACTGAAGTGGATGAGGATATTTCCATGGATTTCAATAACTTCAGTGAAAGTCTGTGGATTGGCCCATTCCTTTTAAGTAGCAACCTCACATTTTTATCGTGGGGTGTCTTGAATGAAATGGTCTTAACTGACGACTGCCTGAAATGCTGTCCTAAGTGGAACTGAGATTAGTTCGGTGGAACGGCCAAGGACTAAGGCATGCACTGAAAGCTGGCCCATCCCTTATCCCTCAGAACAGTCACTGCAAGTCAGTGAGTGCAAAGTTTGTCCTGCCATGGCCAATAGTTTTAGGATTTCAGCCTCCGGGCTTGTGCTCTAAGAATTAAATTCATAATGCAGGTAAACATGAATTGCAAATAAGGTCACCTTAAAGATTTGTTGGCAGCTTTTCCTGTTCAGCTGTTACATACTTTCTGTTATACATATCGTGATGTGTAGGTATGTACTTGATTGTGGGACAAAAATTAGCAAATAGTTAATGACAAACCAAATTACGTAAGTCAGAAGTTCATATCCAAGCTTCTTAACAGACAACCATTAGAAACAAATTTGTATGAGAAAAGTGCATTGAACGTGGGAGAAAATGTTTGATAACTGTTGGAACCTGTTATAGCATGTATTTGCCTACAAGCAGTTAAATAAAACAATAGGAACTTGAATTACAGGTAGTTCTGTTCAATATTGACGCATCAGCTGCTTAGAAATATATCAAATAATAGAAGAATAAGTATGCCAGAAATTATTTCCATGCTTTGACTTTTCTGTTGAAGTAACAACATACAATGTACAATTGTTGAGTCCTTATATACACCAAATTTTGGTGTTCAGCCAGTGTTAACAGAAGTACTGTTTCCCTTTAGCATGGGAAATCCAAATTAATCTGTGGCTTTTAGGATCCTTTTCAAGTCTGGTGATGGATCATTTTCATTAGAAATTGCATATTTGCACTCTTGAAAGGGGGAGGTCATATAGTTCAGTTTGAATTCTTGCCTTGGAGTTGGTTACTCACTTGATTTTTTTTTTTTCTTTTTCTTTTTTTCGGTCCAGAATTGGGAAGCAGATTAGAGATTAGTTGAATAGGGCAGAGGCTAAAGGAAAGTAAAATGTTAGGATTCCTGGATTGTTCTACCTGAGACTGGCGAGGTCACACAGTATACCTAATAAAAATGTCATTAGGCCAGCCTGTCCATGGGTATACTCAGCATAACTCAATCAGGGCCTTTGTGTTCTGGCGCTGGAACGCTGGGTTACAACCCAGCAAAGGTTGCAAACATATTTGAGCAAACACAGATAACACTGCAACATTTCTGCCCAGCAGGAAAAAGGTGGCTGCCCAGTGAACACTGCAGTCTTTGTTACTTATTTTGCAAATTTGTGAAAATGTGAATCAGTATTCATTGTTAAATACTGATATGTAGAAGGGTGCTATGTAGCTCTTCAGTCAATCACACAGCCCTAGAAGAACAATTTATCTGCTCACTAGTTTCTGACAGAAATGTGGAAACATTTGCAGACAATTCATAGTACTGTATAATCTTAACTAGGACTTCGAAAATTAATGATACTGCAGGATACTGAGCACTCCTGGAGTAGTTCCTCCAGCAGGTGATTAGTATCTCAAGAATGTTAATGAACTTGAAAAATGCTCATTTCAAGAACAACCAAAAATGAAAATGTTTTGGTGAATCTACAGTGAACTGTTTCCTGGTTCATAGTCACTGTTCCTTCAAATCCAGTCCCGCAGTCTTTTCTTAGCAATGAACTGGTGGGCAACATGGACCACACCATAGCACATAATTTTTCTTTTATTTTTTTTAAGTCCTTTTAAAGTTTCCACAATGCCAGTGGCCAGGTTTTTGTTTGAGTTGTTTTGTTTGTTTTGTTTTTTTTTTTTTAATTGGCACTTATCAGCTCAGCCTCGCACAAAGACAAGTACTTGACTTAGCTCTGATTCAGCACCCAAGACTGGTTTGTTGAATCCCCAAATGTATCTTCATGGATAACATGACACCTTTGGACGTGGGTAATACTCCATAATTGGAAGTAGCTATATTAATGCCAGCAGCTGCAGCAAGAACGTTAGAGAAGTAATGTCCTACAGCCCTCAGAGGTCCAGGTCCAGCCAAGTGACCTTTGGGACTGGTGCAGCGAGCTGCAGTGTTGAAGAGCCACTTGCTGTTGTGCTCCTCCAAACGTACACGTTATCTCCTCCCCACCGACCCTCACCTCCTGTATCCAGCCCCAAGTTAAGAACTGATACCACACCTGGGAAGGGAGGACTCCTCAAAGTCCTTTATGCCCCATACATTTTATAGATCAAGCATTAACTGCTTTCAGCCTCATGCATGTCACTAATAAACGGATGTGTAAACAGGGAAAGGAGAGGGAAGAAAGAAGGAAACTACCCTTTTAAATAAAAGACGAAAATGTGGTAAATATGGTAAGTATGACGCCAAGGTCTTCGCAAAGGCTTTCCCTACAATTTCTCTAATCAATCTGAAATCTGAATTCAAAACTTTGTGTGGATGATGCGTGCGAATGCGTGTTCCCATATGCCATCAATTCCAGCCATATTCTTCTTGTGATCGAGCCTTCTGCTACACACTTTCAAATCTGCAGGCTTGCCCTTAAATCAAACTGACTTTTCAGAAAATGTAATTTATTTTAATGACTAATTTCAAGTCATCGGCTTCTAATTCTTGATTCTCAAATATATATGACTTCCTCTTGCTCTCTGCAGTTTTCCATTTCATAAAATGAGTCATGTTTAATAACCTATATGATTAAAAATGAAACTACGTGGAAAGGAATGAGATGGCAGAAAAATCATTATCTGACCAAATGACTGTTATTTTGAGAGAAATCTCCAGGAAGGACAACAAAGTGAGACTGTCTAACCTCAAAATTATAAATAACTATTATGTCTTTATTTTTCAAGGGATCACCAGTCTGCTTGCCAATGGAGTTTACAGTGCTGCATATCCTTTGCATGATGTAAGTGATCTCACAATAAATTTTACATGTCTACTATCTGACACCAAGAAATCCTTCATGTGTTACGTGTTAATGGCATCATCCCAAACATGAGTGTCCGGGATCCTGACTTCCTGCTCACTTGTATCACAACTGCAATAACTTCTGCAGGTTGTTTCCATCACTCTCTTCGCTTCTAATGAATTCCCCACCTCTCTTCTGCCTTTGATGATCATAAGTGACGTTTGAACGTAACATTAGAAGAGTTATTTCGGTGGCTTAGCAAACAGAATGCTTCTGTTCTTTTCTGACCTTCTGCTCCCGAGATCCCTGGCATTAGTGCTAGGAAACATATTTATTCCTGGGGCACCGAGTGGCTAGTTGCCTTGTCCACATCTCCCTGGCATCACCCTGGCAAGTAGAGAGATGCCAGTGTCCATGCAATTGGATGCCACTGGAGGAAAAAACATAGGCAAGAATTTGAAGTGGCATATTTCATGGGACTGGATATGACTGCAGATCTTACTGATGAAATCTGATTTTGAGAGGTTCAGTAAGAGGTCAAGAGTGTGTTCAACTGTAGCGTTCATTGAAAGGATTAGAGAGAGGTAGGGAATTTCAGTGGCGCTCATACCTGAGCTGGGGATCCCCATCCTGCCAGAGGTGCACAGCAGTTGGATGCTGGTGATATTTTTACTTAGAAGTCCAATGTAAGACTAGAGCTGACAAACCCATGCTGTTAGCTAGACCCTTACAGAAAGGCTTGACAGATGTCAAGGGGATGTGGCAGCCGTGCTGCTCATGATGTACTGGCTGTGTGAGCATACAGGGGCTGTCGAGCCTGGTGCCGGTTTGCTGGTGTGGGATGTGAAGATGAAGTGTGTCTTCCTAGTTTTCTGCTCCCCTCGCTCACGTTGGTTTTACGTAGGACCTTAAATGTTTTATCTCGGTGTAACTGAGACCAGAACAGCCTCTTTATCTGCCTGATGTTTATCATAAATGTCAGGCACTCTTAAACTACAGCAATATAGCTTAGAAATCCAGAAAGGTTAAATAAACTTCTCTGCATGTACTTGCCTCATGTCTTTAGACAGCTACTGATAGTCTTGTATATAAGTTATTTATTGTCTTAGTTTACTTCTTTATCATATTTTAAAATAGCTCCAAATTAAAACCTCAAATCTAATCAGCCCTGAGTGTTTGGAGAGTTTGGATAGGGATCAGCGCTCTCAGCTGGTCTCTTCTCTTTCAAGTGGACTGAGCTGAACCCCAAATACCATGGCAATACCGCATCCTTTCCCTTGACGTTTTTAGGCCACCTTTATCACTTATTCATTCCTTTTTCACCAGTGACAGACATTATTACTCTTTCTTAATGTGCCTGACAACAGAAGACAAAGTGTGCTATGACAAATGAACTCCTAAAATACAACATTATTTTACAGATTGCTTTTTCTGGTTTTGATGCATTAAGTGAGTGGGATACATAGGTATTCAAGATGCATAGCAGCTCTGGGCGCGACTCACTGAATGATGCAGATTTTCTTTTTTTTTTAAAGGGTGACTATGAAGGTGAAAACGTTGAACCTAATGACAGAAAAGTAAGTTGATATAAATGGGGGTTTAACATATTCACAACAATCCCAGCCTGAACAGTCACCTGTTGGAATCTGGGCATTTGCCGAGATTTCACAGAAAATACTGCAAAAATGCACTAAATGCCAAGCAGCAGAAGTACAGAAGTACTCTCCAGTGTTTAAATTTGCCTGAATGTGGAATGCAGTATGGATATGTATAAATTACCAAGCTCGATAATGATACATTTCTTGCCATGTTGGTAAAAGTATTGACAGCATTTATGTATAGCTCCTCCTAAAGTTCAGATGATGTCATTTCAGGCCAGCTCTGATGAGAATATGCTCAGTCATATTCTGGTACCCAAATCTGACAGAAATCCTGCCTTGCTCCACAGTGAGCTCTGGTCTCAGCAGTGCAGCCTCTGCTGAATTAATGTGCTGCTGAACTGGAGTGTGAGGATCAGAACTGGGGGGTGAGGAGGGAGGCAGCTGAAAACATAAGCATTAAAGTTACTCGGAAAGATAAAGATTGAATATTTATCAGAAATGAGATATTCTCAGCCAAGATCTAATATGCGCTGGTCGGCCAGAAACTGCCCTGTGGAAGTATACTGATGAACTGCATCACCTTTTGCATAAGTCTGTGGTTTAAATTGTTTTTTATTGTCTGTATACTGAAAGACATTTGTTCAATGTGGTAAAATGAATAGAAATTATTCTAAGGAAATACTTCTCATAAGAAAAAGCAATTTTTTTCACCCTTTGCAGAAATGTTGATAACTTGAATTCAGAGTGCAATTACTACATACTCCTTATCACACTTCTCTAAAGAAGATAGGCTTTTTTTCCGTGTATCAGACAAAAACTGAAGTAGAGAGCTTATAACATCTCTCAGGAGGAGCTACTAAATTTGGGTGCCATATACATTGGGCTTTCAGACTTGAAACTTCACCTTTCCAGTTTGTTTCATGGTCATGTCTCCAGAGAAGACATTCAGGTTGCAGAAAAAGCAGATCTCAAGCCCTTCAGGTTGGTCAATATAAATAGGTACCCAAAATTAAAGGTCTGCTGTGCCTTAAGACACAAATGGCTCAACAAAAGACAGCGACTGTTATTTCCCCCCCCCCCCCCCCATTGATTTGTGTTAAAAATACCACATACCTGTCATTTCATTATTAAGTAACACATTGCTCAACCAAAAATAGGATGAAAGTCCATGTTTTCTCAAAGCGTCTGGATTATCATCTTTATTACTAACGTTTCAAACCTCACAAGTTCACTGTGTGTTTGGAAATGTTTACCTTGGCTTTTGATTTCCAGTTCCCTCAAATAATCTTTTGGTGTGTTTTGGCATGTCTGTTCTGGTGTCTTGAAGCTTTCTGTAATCTAATCCAGTGTTAGGCCAGGCCTGTGCCTTTTTTAACAACAAAATTAAAGATTTGAGGCATAGAAATGAAGTAAATATTTTGGGCTAGTGTGCTGATCTCCTCTAATCATGTCTTTGAAGCTCTGCTTTGAATATCGGGCTGATAAATGTCAGGATAAATGAGATAATTCATTTGTACTTTAGGTACAGATTTGGTTTGCAGCGTCGTATAAAACTGAAACATGGCACTGATGCAAAATCTCCTTAGCTTAGTATTTTCCTGATATGCCTGACCAGCTTAGATCACAGAAAAGGAATCTAATTTCCCTGCGCAAACTTAGCTTGTAAAAATGCAGTAAAAAAAATAATAAAAGGAAGGGTCTTAGCTGGTGCACATGGATGTTGAAGTGTCCCAAATCATTAATTGTTTCCCAGACGTAGGCAGCTGGCCTTATACTTTTGAAAACGTGGTTGAAAGAAACCTAAAGCAGAATAAAAATAAAATTTGCAAGAATGTTGCTGTTCAATAAAGGCCCGCTTTTACAGTTCAGTTTCTGCTCTTACTATTGTAAGGAAACTAATAAAGACTAATGGTTCTGGGTTACAGAGGGGAAAATCCACAGTCCGTTTATAGTTTTGACACCGCATTTCTGTAAAAGTAAAGAAGTTGTCTTTTTTGAATGGCTCTAACCATTTGCATGAGAAGTACAGCAGTCCACCTTGGAAAGTTTGTGTTAATGATTTGGCAGGAGAACTGTAAAACTGCTCTAGAAACATTGTTTGCTACATGACTTATCTGTGATAAAATGCAAGAAGTAGGAATGGGTAGGGGCAGCAGCGGGACTGTCAGTCTGCCCTTCCTTGCTTTGCTGTGTGTCACTGGAGAGATGTAGGAGGTTGACATCTGTCAAATTTCTCATGATAAAATAGCCTACAGATTTAAGTAATAACATCCTGTTTGGTCTGTTCTTTTATGAACAAGATTAATAATGTTGCCCTCCCTGTAATGATAAATGGTTTAGGTCTCAGTTCCCTGGTGCTGTTTCTTCCACAGCTGAGCTGGTTGTGCAGCCCTTACCCACTGATGGGGGTTTGTGTAACCAAGCTCTGACATTTTCTGCCTTTTTTTTTTTTAAAAAAACGTTTTTACCCAATGTTTGATGAAAAGAAATACCTCAGCAATAATCAGTTCATGCTCTTACACTTGAGGAAAAAGTTGATGATGTTGTCAGATGAATTAATAAAAAGAGAAGTGACCATCAAAGCATCTCATTGAAATACCAGTAGCTGGTCCAGGAACATCCTGCTACCAAGTTCATGCCACTGGGTTTGAGCAGGGAGAGAAGCAGTAAATGGAAACACAAGCAGATATAAAGCTTCTCTTGCCCTTGTCCCAGAGGAGGTGATGTCTGGGTGGCCACCAAGCACAGTTCATCTTCTCCAGTATCTTTTGTATGCACACTGATTTCTTGTTCACTGTGTTAGCTGAACTGAATTAAGAAAAAGATGAGATCTCGGAAGTGCTATTTATATATTTTACAAAGTAAAGGATAAGTTGAAGGTCGCAGAGGAACCTATTTTTGTAAGGGATTCAATTTTATAAATCATTAATGGAGATCATTGTTTTCCTTGGCATGTATCCTAACCAAAAGGATGAGTGAAAATCATGTTCTTTTAGTTTAAAGCTGAATAACTCTTAAATGCAGCCTTTGAGGCACCTCTGCATAGCACCTCTTGATGGATGCTGATATTATAGTTTGCATAGTAAAAACAAACCAGTTCAATCTAGATTTTTTCTGTCTTGTAAAGCAAAGCATATTCATCTTTCACATCCATTCTGCTAAATACTTCCTATGGATCATAAAATCAGAACTACTCTCCCTTGTCCCTGATGTAGTTATCCATCAGTCCAGTTGCTTAAGGGTCTTTTAATGTACTAGAATTCATCACTCCGTTACAGCATGCCAAATCATCAAATTTGTTTTTAATACTTAATACAGACTGCATGTATTGGCAGATTATGGGCTGAAACCACAAAGCAGTGAGACTGGATCCACAGCATGAGCTGTGCAGTTTGCTGGGACCAAAGGAGAAAACACTCGTGTACCCAGTGCTTTAGCTTTCACCTTGCTTTTCTGTTTTACAGCTCCTGTGTGAGGAGTGGGCGAGCTACGGAGTCTTTTATAAATACCAGCCGATTGACCTGGTGAGGTGAGAGTTCAGCCCTTGACGTCGTGTTCTCACGAGGCAGTGCTGGAGCTGTGCACAGCGATGCTCGTGCTGGTGTCCCCGCAGGGATGCTGCCCTCCATGCCACACCGGGGAATGCTGGAGAATGGGAAGTTCACTGAGGGAAAATTAGTTTTCTGTGGGTTTAAAAAAATGCTGATATATCCCACCTAGTGTGGAAGCTTGCACAGAACGTATTTTTAATGAATTTTGTTTGCTTGTGGTGAGAGCTGAGACTCTTTGAAGAAAATAAGGTGCTTTTTAAAGAGGATTAACTCACAGAAAATCCAAAGATACCAGTTTACACAGCAGGAACACAGGGGGAAAAATTACTAGTTGGACTGACTTGCTTTCATGGTGCCTGTGTCTCTGGATTAACTCCAAGCATCATGAGAAAGAAAGTGCTCTGAGAAGAAAAAAATTCCCACAGGTCGTCAGATCTTACTTTCTCCATGCTTAATCCAGCTGTGATTTGTAATTTTATCCATGTTATATTTTAAGAAATAGGAAACATTTCTCTCATTTCTTTTTTTAATGTATTTCAGAAAATACTTTGGAGAGAAGATTGGACTATATTTTGCCTGGCTGGGAGTTTATACACAAATGCTTATTCCAGCTTCAATTGTAGGGATTATCGTTTTCCTCTATGGCTGTGCAACTGTGGATGAGAATATACCAAGGTAAAATAAATAAATAAATAGATTCTAGTTGGAGGCCACTAGAAACTCAAAGTTACCTTGCTCTAGAAATGTTTTGTCATGAATATCTAGGGTGAGCACAGCTGAAACTGTGACTCCTGGTTTCTGGGGCTTGCCCTGTGCCACCCACAGCTCGACACCTGAATCCATCTTTGCTGGCCGTGGCTTCCCCAGGTCTGTCTGCCAGGTGCTTCCCAGACTCCGGTGTGCTCCCGCCACTCTCCCTCCTCTCACGCTGCTGCACCCTTTGTCTTTTGGAAGCTGTGCTTAAAATGAAGCATGGACTGGGGAGCTTGCAGTCCCCCCAGTTTCTGCTCCCAGTAAGCAATGGAGTGCTCCCGAGGACTGAGAGTGGGCAGCAGAACTGCAGTGCATTTTTAAATCGTTAGCATTTATTGTTAATATTACTTGTGGAGTTTGAATTGATGTACTAAAAATAATTCTTGGCCAGTTGCTGAGGTGTTGGGTTTTTTTCCTAACTCAGATCATTATGTTAAAACAAAACAACAAAATACTGCTAATGATAGGTTTTAGTGCTTCCCATCATAAAATGCTGAGGAAGGCATTGTGTGACATACAGATGAATCAAGAATATACATGCTTAAAATAAGCAATTGTGATCAGATTAACAAAATCTTGATGTCCTACTATTTTTAAGTTTTGGGGAGTTTTGTATTACAATAATTTTTAAAGCCCTATGATTTTGCATTATTTGCTGTGCATGCATCATCAGCTGTAGAGGAACATTACATAGTTTGTACAATAACCATGAGCCCTGAGTAACAAAGCAGATAATGGATATCAAAAAATAGATGTCGTTTTGTTCATGAAGATTGCTTTGTACTGCTTCCCACAGTTGAAGAAAGTCAAAGGGAGAGAGTCACTGTTGCTGTTTCACAGATGGAGTGCATAGAAGATAAATTGGTTGAACTCCAGTCTCTTGATACTCAGCACTTCCCTTGTACCTTATCTATTGCTGTAGTTAGTATTTCAAAGCAAGAATGATCTTTTAATTTTATTTTTTTTTTACTCTAAGTTCATGTAGTAAAAAGCATCAAGCCTTATGCCTCTCATACTGCTGTCTTTTATTCCCTGGAATAGAAGTAGGGCTAGGGATGGAGGGGGATGGCAGCCTCACATGAGGATTTCAGCCCCTATGATGGTGTAGGTTACGGGCAGAGCTGCTCACTGGGGCAAGAGCTGGGAAGCACTGGGAGGGTGGTACCTCATGCTCCTACAGACCACAAACAGATGCTGTGCAGAGGAGAAAAGCTCACTGGAGCATGGAAGATGGAGCGTACTGACCATGCTTTTTCCTTATCTTGTTGCTTTGTTGCAGTATGGAAATGTGTGACCAGAGAAACAATATCACCATGTGTCCCTTATGTGACAGAACATGCAGCTACTGGAAGATGAGCTCTGCTTGTGCGACTGCTCGTGCAAGTCATCTGTTTGATAACCCTGCAACTGTCTTCTTCTCAGTCTTCATGGCTCTCTGGGGTAAGAAGATATATGCCTTCATGTTAAGTTTTTAATTATTTAGAATGCAACAGGAAGAAACAGAAGAGATAAAGCAATGTATTTATACTCAGACAATTTTTTTTTTCCTTTCCCATGAAACTGTCACCCCCAAATTTATATTTTGGACTGAAGGCTAAAATTCAAAAAAGTTGCTCAAGATGAATATCAAATGGAATTGTTAAGCATCTGTCATAAAACTGCTGCGTGGTATGTCAAAATTTCATTAACGGGATTGCACAGCTTGCCAAAAAAAAAAAAAAAAAAAAAAAAAATCTATTTGCAGAGCCAGCTTCCACTTTAGAACATTACAGAAGAAATGTATTAATGTACTCTGGGGTCGCGGGGAGGGCTCCACAGGGAAGTGTAATGGCCTTTAGCGTCTCAGGACAAACCAAGATTGATTCTTGAGTGTGCTCCGAGATGCAATTAAGTTTATCAGCAGGCAGACATCACCCATGTAAACCAGGAGGCAGGAGTGTTGGTGTTACAGGTATTTTTTCTGATGCTGACTGCTCCTATATTTGAGCATGTCACTTAACCTTTCTTGGCACATCTGTAGAACTTAGTTAAAAATTAACCCTCTATGAAATCTTTGAGAGAGTGTCTTCAGGACTGGTTATCGAGGGCTTTTCTCCTCCTTGCTGGAGGAGGGATGGGGACCTCCTTGCTTGGACACTCCAGCACCAGACATAGGCACTGGAGGAGAGGAGCCTTCTGTCATCCTCGCTGCGGGCCAAGAGGGCCTGTTAAGATAAAAGGGAACTGGTGGGCTCCAAACCCCATGTTTATAACTGGGAGCCTGGTACAAAGAGGCTACAGAGAATAGGGAAATGTGTGTTATTCCTCCCAGCTTTGAAGTTTGATAGCCACGTACTCCCAGCATCAGCGAGAGCAGCACAAGATGGTGTTTGCCTGTCCTGTACACCTTGTTGTGAGTTAGCAAATAACCTGCTTTGGATTATATTTAATGCAAAACCGTAGCCCAAGGGGTTCTTTGTTCTGGTATGCAGGGAACCATTTTTACATTAACATTCATCTGAACTGATTTTAGTACAATTCAATGTAATTCAGTTTAGAGAAGTGCTTTTTTGACCAAGATATCCATTTGAGATAATTATGTTTTAGATGCAGTGCTAAGAGCTCATTACCAAGTACCATAAGGAAGAGGACAAGGATGGTCCTGCAGAGGGATTTTGGGAACAGTGGGGAGTTGGGAACACTGCAGGTTCAGAGGAAAAGCTGGCAAGTGTGGGAGGCTGAATGTGACCAGCTTCATAGCAGAGAGGAACGATCACTGTCTTACAGGTCATCTTGCCATGTAGCATATAGGGAGAAATGTGATATACCCCAAAGCAGGGTGTGGTGTCAGAGACTTTAAAGAGTCTGATTCTCTCACATGGAGAGTCAAGTATCTGTTTCGGTCTCCTCCATTTAGCATTACTGTGAACCCCACGTGGACCTCGGCACATAATACTTTGTTCAAAAAGTAACATTTTGCCTCCCCTTAGCAAACAACTGTGGATCCCTCCATCCATTTTTTTACATTCTTGGGCAAAGTAAGGCAGATTGGCAGAAGCCAGCTTCTGTGCCCTATGCAAAATCAAGCTTAATATCTGAGATGGTTTTGGAGTGAGATGTGAAACTCCTCAAGTTCTTCAGGGTCAGCATAAAATTTTGTTGTGGTACAATACCATATAAAATAAATGTTGTTTCAGAGAGGTCTTTTTGAATTGGGAAAATCAGAACTGCTTCCACATAGTTTTCAATTGGTGTTATTGCAAATTTCATTTCTAAAGGATCTGGGAAAATAACTTTTTTAAAAAAGAAAACACGTGCTTTATTTTTTAAGTGAAGAGTATCAACAAAAATTGTCTGTCTCTAAATGTAGGCACACATATAGTCTCCAGCACTGTTTGTGAGCACCTCTGCACATAAGAAGTTTCATTAGGTTCATATACAGTTGAAGTGTTGAGGCAGAGGCGACCCAAGTAACCTGCTCAGGTGACACAGAGCACCCTTAGCATAGCAAGAAAATTAGCCCAAGTTCAGGGGTATTATTGTGAGCAAAATTTGGCCAGGTTTTCTTGTATCATGGTGGTATTGTAACACCCTGGAGAACTCCACTCACACAAGTGTTAAAACAGCTATTGCACAGACCTAGGCCCCAGTCAGAAGTTCAGCATTGAACATGAACCGTGGCCCAGGGCTGTTTGGTATTAAATGGCATTAAAAATGTCAGAGAATCCAGATAAGATCATCTGGATAGTAACCTTTGGGACTTTTTAAGCTCTACTTACGCTTATGGGCATCGATGAAATATGAAAATGCAGGTACGCTTGGCAAAGCGGCAGCACATCGCTACCTGGCACATTCACTGAGGGCCTTTGGAATGCAGAAAAAAAAAAAAAAAAAAAAAAAAAAGCAGTCTTTTCATTTTGGATTATTGTAAGTCCGTGCCACAGAAGGATTTCTAGTAGCACTAAGAAATGACATCTTGTTCATTTTCCATATTTCTCCCTGTATGTGGAAGCTGCGGACCCCTGAGTGAGAACTGCCGGCAGTGGGGAGAGGGGAGGCCATTCCAGGACCAGGACACAGATCCTCTTAAGAAACAGCTACAGCCATCCTGATTTACAGGAAGCCTATGGCTTGTAAAGAGGCTCAGTTTTTAAGTTTTACACATGAGAGTTTTGCTTGGAAGGCGAATGAACGTCATGACCTTAGCCTGGTTCCAGTCATGAGGGTGTCCTTTCCTCTTTATTCAACTTTCTTACCCTCTCCCTGCCTCGAGTTTTTCTGGATATGAATGTTTCTGAGCACATCTGTTAATACTCATCGCAGGAAACTCCCCTGGGAACACCATTTCTTGGTAGACTTGCCTCTTTCATAATCATTTATTTATTATACAGAATTGGTGTATTCCCAGCATCTAAATCTGTCCTCTGAGAACTTGCTTGGTCTCAGAGGCAGATAGACTGATATAGACTGGGATCATTCATTGGGACTCAAGAATTGCTTTAATGAGATTTCTCTTCTGTAAGTCTTCTCCATCAGAAAGAAAATGGCAGTGTTTCTAATTATTAAAACCCTTAAAGGCTTCCTCTTTAATAGCTTGCCCACCTGCAGCTTTCACATGGCATGATTATTTGGGTTTGGGGGTGATGACTGGAGCTAACCATACTATTACAACCACTAGACAGATGTAATTCTAACAACATAAAAATGCTTTATTGTGATATCTTTGAGGGAATAACTATCCCATCAGTACAAGGCTAGTTAAATCATTCATATCTTTTACACAGGTTTGTTTGGACTTGTGGATGGAATTATATGCGGATGAAGACCAACAATATCATTAGTCACACATACTTAAACATGTTTGGGTGTCTGACTTTCTTATACCCCTTACAAAATTGTAGGCATCTTTCTACATGGAGCTGTGAATGTAACAGATGCCCTTTCTTTTAGCTTACCTTGATAAGACGGCTGACTCCTAGCACATCAGTATTTCCCAGATAGACATTCCTATTGAATAACAAAAAAGAAGTTAACCTGTCCTGGTATTTGATACGATACTGCACCTGCTGAGGCCTTTTGGAGACAAGAGTCTGAAGACACACAGCAGGCAAAGTGGAGCGTGGCCAGCATGCCTCCTGAGACAAATCCCAGAGGCTGATATGATTTTTTTTGTTGTTGTTGGTAAAAATGTCAAAATAATTGTTAAACTGTTGTTTCAGCTGCCACCTTTATGGAACACTGGAAGAGAAAACAGATGCGTCTCAACTACAGGTGGGACCTGACCGGGTTTGAAGAGGAGGAGGTTTGTCCCTTCAGTTCTGACTCTTTGACTTCCACTGTGGTGTTACTGATAGCTCCTTGCCCCCAACCCATAGACTTTGCCTCATGGGAAACTGCTCTTGGGGTGGTTCCATCATTTAGAAGAAAGGAAAATCTCTGTACATGAACTATTTGAGGTTTTTATAGCAAGGGTATGACTAGTATGTCTTGTTGCCATAGAAATGTAATTGTATAGCCACAAAATCGAATTTTTTTTAAAGTGTGTAGTTGGGTCACACCTAGCAGCGTAGGCATGGAATATACAGCTCAGACCTTACTGCTGGGCTGATGTCAGGGTGCTAACAACTAAGGACCTCATTCATCTCCCACTGCTGTAAATCAGAAATGAATGTATTGAAGTTGATAAAGTTACAGCACTGTAAAAAAGCACTGAAAAATTCCTATTAACTTTAACGATGCAGGATCAAGCCCTGACTTGGAAAATACCAAAGAAAATATTGCCAGACATGTGGGCTTGGGGCACTGGGAGGGACACAGTGTGGAGGTGGTTGGGTTTTTTTTTTCATTTACTAAAAAAAAAAAAAAATAATCCCTAGCCAGGTTTATACTAAACGTACTAAATAGCATGAAGAGGAAAGAGAGCCAAATCTTTATGAAGGTCTTAAAAATCAATGAAGTTTTAGAAGGAGAGGAGAAAAAATCCCTAGCCAGCTGAGAAACTGTTTCCCACCCTTTTGTTTTTACTTTTGTCACTTTACAAAAGAAGGAAAATGCCTTCCTAGACCATACTATGGTCCCAGCCCCAGCAGCCTTGCCCTGGGCTGTACTGCACTTCAGAGGCTGCAGAGGTCTGCGGGTCCCTTCCATTTCCCCATCGTATGTGAGAAAAACCTAGGAAAACCCCGCTGCAGGATCTGAGCTCGGACCCACGGGTTGTACAGGCGGTCGCTGCTTTGTTTGCTGGCCAGCTGGCTTTTCTTTTACTGTTGTTATTATTAAAAGAAGTATGACCGCCCTTGTCATATCTCTAGATGTTCTAAATAGATACACAACAAATATTGCTCACGTGAAAGAAGAACCTCACCAGCCCTGGGTTTAACACTATGCAGCTTGATGAGCCTGGCACAGTTACTGTTCCCCTCACCCCCAAAATCTTTCAGCTTGAATTATCTCCTCCTAATATGTTTATCCCCTCGTAATATATTTAGGCACACTATGCCAGCAGCCCCTGTGCCGTGCACTTTGCTAGCTCATACCTATTTTACTGGGAGAGAATATAGGGATTTATTTCCTGGATACTGTACTGCTTTTATTTTTGGTAACTTGTTGTTAGCGTACATGAAAGTAGAAAGGATTAACTGTATCTTTCCAGTGTCTATCCCCTTCATGTCCGAGTTCAGAGCTCTTACACAGTTAAAACAGCAGCTGTTAATAAAGAATATTTTATTCTTTCTTTTGTGTAGTCAATGTTAGATAATACAGTCATGGGTTTACAAAGAATTTAAGCCCCTCCTATCTCTGATTTGGGTAAAACTTAAGCTAGTATCATGCTGAAGGATCAGGGTTTCAAGTGATATATTAAAACCCACCGTGTCTCATCTTCTGGTGTGTTTAGGGACACCTAGTTCATACAGTACTTACAATAATGTTAATAAATGCTGTAGAACATGAGTAGACTGATTTTCTCTGGTAGTGTCTAGCCATCCACTGTACCTATGTTTGTTTCGTGTAGTTTTTAAAATATAAATCCAATATGATCTGCAACATTTCAGTAATCAAATTTTTGTTTTTTTGTTTTTTTTCTTCTTGTTTTTTGTGTTTTTTTTCTGGTGTCCTGAAGGAGGCAGTCAAGGTTTGGAAAACAATTTTTTTTAATTGCTCCTATCTTTTTTATTACATGTCTACTGATGAATGCCATCTTTTGATCTCCACCTCTTCTTTTTCAAGCATCAGATTTTCTTTAGATCTCCCACTGATTGCTTTGCCTTTACACCCTCCCCCTCTCCACTTGTTCAGACTTTTTTCAACTCCGTTCCGTTTCCCATCCGATGCATAATTGTGAATTCTGATCCTTTTGTGAATGCGTAATTATCATGAATTCTGAATCTGTGAATCTTTCTGAATCTTTTGGCTGTCTCTTACTTCCGAGTGTTTCCTACACCCTCTCCTTCAATGCACATGGGTAATCTGTGGATGCTGTCCAGGTCAGGATTAGGGGAAGACCCCAACTGATGATTTTCTGGAATCTCAAAGCCAAGTATTTTGCATACTTACAGGAGATAACTGTTTCCCTCATGAGCTGAGGATCACTGAAATTACCTGATTTTTATCAGAAAGATAGATAATTAAAATCCAAACATAATGTCACTTGGTATGAACCATGCTATCTGCAGTTTGTGCTCTATACTCTCATGTATTAAAAATTTCATCTACATAGCATTGCACGTGGGTGTCTGATAGTGAGTCCAGATCATTCTGCAGTTGCTGCTGTAGAACTGTGAATGATACAGGTTTTAACTTTTTTTTTTTTTTTTAAATACAGTCAACTATCAGTTGACATGAAGGACGTACAAAGTGAATTAGAATTCAGTTAAAAAAATTGAAAATGATCAGGAACTCAACCTGTAAAGACAGTACATATGTAGCTGATGCAGAAAATAAATAACTTTGCTTTTTATTAAATATGACTTATTTCACAGGATCATCCAAGAGCAGAATATGAAGCTAAAGTTTTAGAAAAATCACTGAGAAAAGAACACAAACATAAAGAGGTATGGTAAAATATTCATTTGTTTCACTTATAGAAGACTTTGAAATAGAAGGTCATTATAGCTAACACTGACCCAAGACTAAGAAATAGGTAAAAAATAGAGTCACTGCCCATTGTGTTTAAATTCCAGATGTCTTTGGTTCAAGCATACTTGGTGTATACCAGTGCACAAGACCTGATTAAGTCTAGAAATGTCTTTAATAATCAGATACAGGAGTGTGGCCTAGAGAAGCTGATTGAGCTCGATTGAAGGGGCACTCCTGGCAGGCTAATGAATCAGGCTTGAGAAAACTGTAACTAAACATCTTATTCTGTGCTAGTATAAGTACCTAAAGCCTCTCAGGAGAGGTTCTCTACCTTGCTAGACTGTTTGTAAATAAAATATTGCTAGAGCATTAATGAAGAATACTAACACCAATTTTCTTGCTGAATTTCAGCTTTGATAACTTTCTGCCTCTTAAAAAGTTAACTTCCATTTTATTTCACTGAATAAAGTAGCGCTCACTTCTGCTTTTAACTTGCTCTCTACATCGTCGTGAAAAAGGTGCTGCCAGTCATCCCCAGGGCACGTGCATCTTGCCAGCTGACAGTGCAGTCCCTATCAGCAGCTTCCCTGCCCTTTTGCTGAAGGCTCTAATTCCTTCCCTATTACTGTCTGTCAGCAGCAGTCCGATTGGAAAAAGCTCCTTTTCTCCCCCACATGCTGGTTTCCACTCTACCAGAGGTTATTCACCCTTAACTGCAAGAATTCAGACATCCGTATGACCACATTTTTAAGCAGACAAGTAAAAACTTCTGCAGAAACAAAACCTGTCAGCAGAAATTGCTCTTCTGTATCTGTTGTCCATGGCACAGTAGTGTGGAACCATGCCCTAAATTGGGATTTTATGAAAACCCCATGAAAATACAACTGCAACAAACACATTAACATGAAATATGCTGTAAGAGACAGCATACATAGATTGGACTGGTGTTAAACTAAATGTGTCGACTTTTGTCATGTGCTTATTACTTGAGTACTATTGGGCCCCTCTTAAAAGATACTACAAAGCTGGTGCTGATATGTTCCTATTAATCTATAGGATGCTGCGTGTAAGCAGTTCAGTGTCACATGCAACACCTTACTCACAGCACGGCTTTAAAGTCCCTTGCAGAAGAGAAAGAATTTGGATTGCTTCCCTCTTATATACTGGATAAACAACGTTGGAATACAGATTTTGTTGTGTTCTGCTAAAAACCTGTGACTTGCTGTGCTTCTGGATATATTGAGAATTCAGATCTTAAATGTGGAAGACTGTAGGGTAATCGGACAACTAATGAATGGTGGCCTCCAGATATTGATATGAAAGCTGAGCAATTAAGAGAGGATTTTTAAAAAATAAAACTATTTATAACTTTTGGGACTGTGTTCAATTTGGATGTTACTAATTTGGGAAACGTGAGAAAAGGAGTTTTTTTCTGAAAGACTCAGTAATTATCTTTCATTGGGATCTAGAGTGTTAAAGTTCAAATTCAACAGTTGTAAGACAACTTGGCAATCTTCTTAAAGAAAAAATATCTAAAGTTAAACTAGAAATTGCTCATATTTTTTAAAGATAAGTGCTATTTAAGAAAAAAAAATAAAGGAAAACATTTTGGATATCCATTATACATCACGAAAGAAAAAGAAGGGCACAATCCTAAATTAAAAAGGGAATATCCTTTGCAGGATTGCTTGATCTACCCCAAGATTTGGGGCAAGAGTTTGTATTTTGTTGTTATGTTAACCTAAAGCTGAAACACAAAGCCTTAAGCAAACTAATAGAGCATTCACTTGTGACTAAACTGCTATGCACACTGAGTCAGTAGAGAGTATGTAGATTAATTTAGCAGTGCTTTGTAATGCTATATTGCCCAATCCCTTTTTTGTTTCCTTTGACTGCCATCAGAAGCATCGGTATTTTCCAGAAGAGACAGCAAACAAATGGAGACAAAGAGTTAAGACAGTCATGGCTGGGGTGAAATTGGTTCTTTTTATTCAAACTTATGAAGAAACTCAAATTATGAGTAATTATGGAAGACACAAATCAATTTGTTTTTGGCTGTTGAACTTTTGTTTAATATTCACATTCAGTCCTGGGTTTCTTCCCCCTCCTCCTCTTGTTTCTTCAGCACTCTTTGGGACACTGTTTCTGTGCATTGGGAATGGCACTGCATGGCTAATCTTACGTTACATTTTGCAGTGGAGCATGGGCCATGTGGTGAAAGAGTTGCTTGCACTTCCCTGAGACAACGTGCATGTAATAAAAATAGAATTGGAGTAATATTTTTATGTTCATTATAACGTGTGCGTCATCTTCTGTAATGTTCCTTTTGTTGTTTATTTTCTGGTGTTTAGAAACAATTCCCGGCATCAAAGTTTATAGAAGACTTTAGACGAGCAATACTGTTCTAAATGAAGTTTTCATACCCAAATTCAGACAGTGGCTGGTTGACTGGATTTAGGGTATCCTATAAAGAGTTATTATATGTATGCATCTTAACTCCTATTGGCATGGCCCATTGAATACCATGTGGCTAGGCAGGTAGTTAAAAATCACTCATATAAAAGGAATTTCAAGCCTTATCACACACCAAAATAATCTTCCCAGCAACTGTACGTTCATCTTGGAGTTACTCAGTAGCACACTTAATCTAAATTTCAGGAACCAGTTATCCAACTGCAAGGCTGCAAATATTAACTGGGGAGGGAGAGAGGAAGAAGAAGAATTTTTCTAGGGAAAGCAAAAGAAAATATTTAACAGTAGGACATCTTACTTCATGGTTTATGACAGCCTATTTGCATGTTTCCTTCAAAAAGTATACAGAAAATTCTGGTTTATTTATACTCACAGTGCAGACACTTGACCAATTTGAACCTAGATAATGGAGTAAACAATTTGCCTGTGTGGAATTGTAACTGTAAACACTGTGTCTTTGCATCTTCTAACTGGTTGTGTATTTGCAAGCCTTTCCCCCCCCCCCC